AATTAACTTAGGAAACAAGTCAGAAAACAGAGCCAAGAATGTTACTCACTGAAAAGAGATGCGACTAAAAAAATTTTGAAGATTATAAATAATACTCCTTGTTAAACTGAACTTCATCTTTATGACTGAAATGTGCTATTTAAGTAGTAAGCATTTTAAATGAACAAAATAAACAAATTTCCTTTTAGAGAAGGAGAGCCAAATTACACAATTGTGTACAAAACTTGAAAAAGGGCTAAGTATTTTTTAAAAGAATCATATGTAACAATTAGAATTCATTTACTATAGATAACAGCCTTGGTAGAAAGTTAATCAGAGCCTAGGATTATAGATTAAGTTGGAAAAAAATTTTAATATACTTGTACCTTAATGTCATTCATATATGTCTATCAGTAACTTAATGGTCTCAAAGGACACTGAACCCTCCCCCTCCCAAAAAAAAATACCATCAGATGTTTTTCTCCTTCAACTAAACAATAAAGTAAGGTAAGAATGAATGAATGAATGAATAAATGAATGTATGATTGGACATCAATCAGGGAAATTCAGTCTATGAAAATCTAAGTTCAACATTACAGAAATTAAAATAAAAACACAGACACTCATGATTTGGAGAAGAAAAAGATCAAATTCTCAGGCTTTGCAGGTTTGAACTGTATATTACTACATACTGAAACATACTCCTCCTTAAACGGTTTGCTCTTTGATCCAGAGTAACATCGACAGCAAGTAAGGAGGTAAATGTGAGTTTACTAAAAGGTCAAAAGGCAGGGGTGCCCATGGAGAAGAGGGGATCACTAATTTATCCCATTCAGAGCAGCATCTGAACTATATGATTTTTAGAAAGTTTCACATGGCACTGCTACCAATTTTGAAAAGTAGTTGTATTATATTTTCTTATTTAATCTCAGGACAAATCATAACCCATGTGCAACCACATTAACAAAGTCAAATTTTTAAAGTTATGCAAATTTCAAAAAAAAATATCAATGAAAAGAGCTGTCTGCCATTGGGAAGGACACGAACCAAGTCAAGGAGTCCCAATGCTAGATTTCTGTCATGATTCATGGCAGACAGGAGAGTAAGCCTTGACTTCAAACAGGACATAAAACTGCTTGAGCCTCTGTCTTTCCTGTGAAATGCAACGATAATACTGTTCTCTGCCAGAAAACAGTGATTCTAATAGAGGTAGAATGTTTTCTTCCTGCATTAGCTGAGAAAAGATGTAGCAAAGGGCATTTTGATGTCTACTTAAGAGGTGGATTTAAGTCCATATCAGAGATGTACCTCCATGGATTCCAACAGAGAGGCTGACTGCTCCCTCCCCTGGGTGTGTAAAGCATGGAGAGGGGTCTATCAGAATACAAGTCACAACAGCAAGAAGGACAGGGGTACTTGAATTATTGCTCAAGACTAGTTTCTGCTGTTAGTTTGAATTCTCATCAGGATCTCTGAAGAAGCAGTCCAGGCCACCACACGGGAACGCTGTGAGAGCAGGGACAGGCAGGGCCTCACTCATGGTCCTCCCCATAAGGAGGCAGGAGGTGGCAGGGAGGAGAGAGGGTAGATGAGGAAGGGCGAGAGTGGGAGGGAGGGCAGAAGAGACAGACTCCAAGCCATCAGCATCCCAAACTTAGGACAGAACAAGAACTAGTTTCACTGTATTCAAATACACACAAATATCACCCCACTGAAATGTCTTTATAGCTTACACTGTGTTACAGTAATACTAAAGGCAAATTTGAAAAGTCATCATATTCTCAGCATTCTAACAAAGGCGTTTTCAGTTCTCCAATTCCCTAGCTGTATTTTCAATTTTGTTCCCAACTTCACTGAGCATGCTCAATGCCAGACATGGGCACAAAGATAACAAGACAGCACTCTATTGCCAGAAGGGATCAAAGACATGCACTTTCTAAGGTAACTCACAGTCACTTGAATTACTCTTTGAAAGACATTCTTTTTTTAAAAGAATTTTTATTAGTTTCAAGTACACAGTACATTGGTTAGACATTTATATAGTTTATAAAACGACCCCCTTGATTACTCTATCTTCCCTCTGGCTCTACACATAGTCATTACCTTACTGCTGACTGCATTCCCTATGCTGTGCTCCCCATCCCCATGGCCATCGATCAACTACAGTTTATACTTCTTTGATAAAAGACATTCTGAAGCCGAGTAATGTTGTTTCTCGTGTGCAAGAAACAAATGTGTAAAACAAAGAATAAGAAATTCCCCAACACGTCAACAATTCAAATATGTTTTTAGTTCAAAGTATGGGGAAAAGAAAGTCAAAGGTTTTCCTAAAAGCCTCATTTAATTTAGATATAAGTTAGAATCAAATGTTCAATTTCAGTTTCCTTTTTCTTTTATGGTTTTATAACATACGTCATGGGTGATAATACTTCAGCGTACTTCACAATTAAGAATGACGAAAGAGAGGCAATATCCAGTGAGAACAAAATAATTACACATCTATATTATGATCATAAACACATGTCAGCTAATGGGTTCTTATATCATTCAATATCTAATATCTTTATTCTTGAGTTAATTTTAAAATTTCATAAAAATGCAAGAAATTACTGTTCTTTATATTTAAAAAGTGGACATTGATAAGAATAAAGAGGTTACAGGAACACAGAACTCTTAACTATTCAGTCCAATAGTCAATCACAACCAAAACTTTTATAAATTTTTGTGACCGAAGTGTAGACAATGACTTAATAAACCAATGAGATTTGAAATAATGTAAGTTGTCAATAAAGAGTACTTACTGTCTGGTCAACAAACTAAACTTGTAGCTGTTCTTGCCTGTGACTGTTTGATATTAGACTTCAGGGTCGTGACATCTATGCCATTCTGGACAGGCCTGCTGATAACGCTATTGTTATTTCACCATTATCACTGAGGGCCCCCACTTGTTGAGAACACTGTGTGCCCGGCACAATGTGTTATATACACACCACCGCATTTAATGCTTACAGTAACCATGAGAAGTAGGTATTCTTATCTCCATTCTATAAACGATGACAGTAACAAAAGCTACTAACATGTTTTAAACATTTTCATCGTGCCAGTCTACATAGCAACTCGCTCATTTAATGCTCATTACAAGCCTATGATATGGGTACTACCATTATCCTAATCTGACAGATAAAGAAACTGGGACATACAGAAGAAACAGCTATCCCAAGGTCACATCTGTTACATGTAGCAGAGTCCAGACATTGGCCCAGATCCTTCTAAAGCTAAAGCCACACTCTTACCCACCAACCCCAAGGAATCTGGCTCTCTAAACCTGCCCTCTGTCCCACCTATGAGAAGAGCTATAGCAGCAGACAGAAAGGGGGCCAGGGCTGGTTTGGCCAGAGCTGGACACCCCAATCACAAGACAACTCATAAATCTGGCTGGGACCCTGCCCCCACTCCCCTGAGGAAATTCAAAATAAGGGAACTGAAGTCCTGCCTCAAAGCTGGCACAGTGCAATGGTCCCAGGAGCTCGTGACCCAAAGACCAGGGCTTCTAACTGACCAGAGCAAGAAGCATCCCAGGATAAAGAGCCTTGGTCTGGACAGGTGTCCTGTGTCTATTCAGGGGTCATCAACTGCTGTTACTATGGTCCACTATGTCCCCGACCACACTAGGTTCTCAGCGACTGAGCTAACTGAGCCAGGGGCACAGCGGATGGCATGGGGAAACAAAGAAACAACTGGGTAAGTGGCTGGAATAAGGGCTGTTGGAATCATGGCAAATTGTTTTTGGATATAATGAGGGGGCATCAAGATGAGGCAGGGCATCAGCTCTAAGAGTGTGAGAGGAGGTTAACAAAGGCTAAAGGAACAGGTCGTGGGGAGTCGAGTCTCAGAAGTCAGGCCAGGCTCCTGCATTCCAGGAGGGAGGCAGGAACCACGGTGAGAGGCTGTCCAGCTGGGAGGAAGACAGCTGTGTTGGTTATCAATGACTAACAACAGTCAACTTAAGGACAGACAGAGGCACTTTGAAGAAATGAAACTAAAGTCTCAAGAGCCATGCTGTGTGAATATACTATGCAGAAGAGGTTTTCAGCTTGAGGAAAGTTCACCACTCCCGCCCAGCACCCAGAGCAAAGGTGCTCGCTTTGGCTAGGCAACACCTGAGTGCAGCTTCTCTACAGAATGCCGGACGCCAATGACTATTAACACCGTGGGAGGGAGGCAGCAGCTCGCCTACAAAGAGACCGCAAAATCCCACCAAAATAAACCTAATGCAGGGAAACCTACTGTCCCCCAACTCATGGAAACTGCCATTTCAAATGGCAAGGGCGAGAAATCAATACGGTGCTATACTTAGCAGAATTAATAAAATCACCTCTACCCCAAGTATTTTTGCCAACTGGCTTTAGGCACTTATTACAGATGGGACAAATTTATTAACAAGATCAGTATATATGTGCAGAGGAAAATAATTAAGGTACGTGCACCCAAATTTAATCAGTATTATCTCTGGGGAGTGGTGTTCGTGTAGATAGTCACATTCTGTGTTATAGATGTGTAACATATTTAATTTTCCTGCAATAGATGTATTATATGTATTATGTATCAGTAATCAGAAAAAATATACCAAGTCTCACGCCAAGTCGGAATATTCAGAAATTCACAAGTCAGGAGCCAGCACACTGCTGTTGCTTTGCTCTTCCCCATGAATAACTGGGATCCTAACAGACCAAAGCGGAGAGGTTAAACATCCACAGAATGTGCGGGAAAAGCCTGGGCGGGGGAGGGGAGATAAAAAGGGAAAGGAGGGTGGAGGGGGAGAGAGAAGAGAAAGCAACAGGAGGAAAGAGAATGGCAGCAGGAGAGGAAGGGGACAGAGGGAGGGAGGGAAACAGAAATGGAAATGGTGGCGGGCGGAAGGGGACACCTGACTGCTGCTCAACGAATACAAGGTCACATTCCTTGGTTGATCGTCAGCGTCATACGTGAATTTAATAATACATGTTTTAACACGTAATTACCGTTTCTTTCCCTTTCAGGCCTTTGAGAGTGTTGCTAACTTCCAACTCAAGACTCACAAAGAACAGGACAGGTGCTCTGGAAGTCCAGCCGGGGATTTCTAAAGGAGAAGGACAGGGACAAAAAGTTATCCTGGATAACGAAAGCGGTTAATGTTTAAAGTATCATTAAAAAGAAACTGATTTTCACTGAAAAACGAAGACAGTATATTTCCTAATGTATCTAGGAAAAGATTGGGTCCAAAGTCTCTTTCAAATATAGCTGCTCTAGCAAACTCTGAATTAATGCTAGAAGAAAACAAAATCTACAGGGTAGATTTTGTACATTTAGTGGAAAGTAAACCAAAGGAGCCTGTGTACGGCCATTGCCTTGGAGGCCCCCACGTGGCTTTGCACTATACCCAACACAGCGTCCCCAACGGGACTTGTCTGTACTCTAGCTCACAAAGTCCTGCAGGAAATGGGGTAGCCTTCTCACAAACAATTGCATAACTGGGGAGTTTCTTATACTTCAGAAACTCTGTTCATGTTTGCAAGGGAATAAAATATTACAAAGCAGCATTTTATCTGTCCTTCAAATGCAGTTCCGACATGAACTCACAAACACACGCCTCATTGTCCTGGGGCTACTCTCTCTTGGACTGAGGACAGACTTTGGAGGCAACACTGTCCCAAATTTTGAGTATACAGTATTTCATTTTTAGAAAGGAAACAATGAACGTGGCCCAGGCACATACTCAGGCCCAGAAATATCGTGACTCCATTTTAGAAAAGGAGAAACCAGCAGAGGTTTTCTGAGGAAAGTTGTCCCTAGGTCCGTCTGACATGTAAATGTTTATTCATGCAAGTACCTCCGAAATGCATTTGGAGATACTCGAATGAATGAAAGTGATTGTTATCTGGGCATCTGACAACTCAAATGAAAATACCATGGAGGAAAATGTAATCATTTTCTCTTCTAGCATCTTCTCTCGACATACGCCATCAGTCCAGATAACTACATCTTTGTTTACCTGAAAGTACAAGCTCGCAGAAAAGGAAAGAAAATGTTCGGACTGTTATAGATACCTTTTTTATTGAGATTTACTATCTATTTTGCATGGTTACAGGACTAATCAATGGTTAAATACTTTAAAGATGCACTTGGGACTTCAACAGATAATGACCAGACCACTTCATGAAGGTCAATGCCAGCTTCCCAACCATCATTATCTCTTTTCTGGAGTGAGGTGTAATGAACAATGCACCAGAAGTTTATTAGTATGGCTGCAAATCTGGACCTAGATTTTGTTTAGCTTCAAAAAAAATAAATAAATAAAAGGAAAGTCTGAAAATGTCTATTTAAATAATCACTAAGACTGGTATTTCCCGCTCTCGCACTTAAAACTTTCAGAACATTCCACTTCTCTCTGCCTCGTGACCTAACAATGTTCCAGTAGAACATAAAGTAAAGATTAGTACTAGATTAAAACAGAAATAGAAACTCCAAGTTTATGACTCTGTTTGAGTGCTTACTACCTACAATTTAAGATTTTACTTTATTTGCCTCCTGAAATATATGAGATTCCAGGAATTCAAATGAATACAATCATATACATTTAATAGGACATTAGAGAAATTTTAATCCAAAATACTTTCATATCAAAAATTCCTTTTCATATTTATCATTATTTTTGCCTTCTCCTTCTCACATTTTGAAGAGAGAACATAACAGAGCTGAACTCCTACTCTAATGACTCAGAGATAGAAGAATCATCCAATTATGACTGGGATATGGACTTGTATGTACCACATATGAAGAACTACGGTACTGGATTTATCTTCACTGTAGTTATGTGACATCAAAAACATCCTAACAAAAATCATTCACAGCACATATTCTTGAAGGTAAAGGACCATACAGTCCCCTGTTCTAACAGACTCATTTCACAGCTGAGTAAATGAAAGCCCAGAGTGGTCAAATGACCTCTCCACACAGCCAAACTGGTCTTAGATCTCAGATTTCTCAGGTGCCAATCCAATGCTCCATTAGATCATAACCGATTTTAATTTCCATAAATAACCTCTTAAGAGCTTATAATTTCATCTGTTTTTCTACACATCTATTATTCTACACGGCATGAATGGCACTAAATGAATCAACTCGACTTTGTTAATACACAACACTATTCGAAATGTTCGAGGGCACACTCTGCCTTTCGCTCCACTGATAAAGCGAGATTAAACCACCAATGCCCAGGAGAAACCTGAAATGAAATCTGAAATATTCTTAGGTTGTCTAAACTAGATACATCTACTCCAAAAATAGAATTTCCCTTTCTTAGTCATAGTCGAATCATAATCACAGCTTTGTGACAATACCCTTTCAAGTAGGTTTTAGAGATAGCTATCAAGCAAAATGTAGATATTTGACAGTCGAAGCTTACATAAGCAGTTTTTGAAGTAAGAATTTCAAGATAATTTACTGTTAGATCCATCAGTTCAGAAAGAAGTTTTACTCTCAAACTCTGGAGTATTCAACAGC